CTTGGGAGAAACTGAAAAAACAGACTGGAACAAAGTAGATACTATTAACAGATACCAGGACAGGTATGAAAGACCAATGGATTACTATGAAAGTGGAACACTGGGAATGAAATACTTGGGTGATGAATGTTATGATGAAAATGAAGATGACTTAGTTTCACATGTAGATGGCTCTGTAATATCTCGAAAGGAGTGGTATGTGTAACAGTAACGTCATCCACTTTCATGTCTTGACTATACATAAAGTTCCTTCATTAGCTGATCACTTTCAGATTGTTTATACTTTTTCTTGAGGAATAAGCTTTTTCAAGTTGATTTTCAAGCTTTTTATATTCTAACTTGACAAATGAAATGTAAAAACCTCATTTAAATGTACTGAAGCTGCTTTATGTTTTTTTTTTCCAATGCTGTACTACTGTCTTTCATAAAAATGAATTTTAATATAGTGCTCTATTTGGCATATAGCACAAGATAAGAACAACCTGCTACATTTAAAAAAGAAATTCTTATAAAAAGTTTGAAATGAAACAACTGTCTTGTTATTGTAAATTTATGATAAAAATTACCTTGATAGAACTTTTTGAACTATAGTTCTACTAAATGGCAACATGAAGCTGATTCAGAATCAGAACTGATCTAAGGCACATTTTGTTTACAGAAATGACTTTTATGATATGAAATATTCTGATGGCACAGTTTTTTCAAAGCTTTATTGTTAGGTTTTCTGCACAGAATTTAATACCTCTACATTTTTGAGCCTTGCCATAATTAGATACTGTAGTGGGTGGTACCTTTTACAGATGACTTGTTGCACTGAACCTGCTGCAGTGGATGTTTCAATGAACAGATCTTGCAATGTAACAGGAACATTATATTTTTTTACACTGCATCTTATTTCCAAGCACTGGAATACTAGAATTCAAAACTTTTAGTTAAATTTACAGAAGAATCCCTTCCATAAAATTTATTATATATTGTTTCAATCAAATGGTTTTCCTTAAGTATTGTTCAGGAGATGGCTAAGTTTCCCTAACCATTCTACTGAATGTTTGTTAAGCACAAAGCTATGAATGCATTGAATCTCAGATGCAACTTCTATATTCAATGAAGGTGCATTTTAAGAAATAAACATTTGACTTTTCACAGAATTTGGTGGTGTTTCAAGGCATATATGGGCTATATAAGGAGTTGACTTAAAGAACGGGCCACTTTAAATGCAAGAGTAACTTTATGTGTATGGTAAGCTGTATTTATGGATATTTTGAAAAAGCAGAATGAAAAGGGTGTTGCAACACAAACATAAAAGAATACTTAAATGGAAGATACACTTTCCTAATGGTGTATTTCCTGTGAGACATTTTGGGAAATGTATGTTGCTTCAAAAGAAATGTGATAGAGAGAAGCTTGCTACTAAACTAAGGAATTGAACAGATGGAAGAAACAAATATATATAACAAAAGGGATTTGTGATCTCTGATGAGAAAGGATAACTCTGGTGTTTTAAAAATTCTATCAATAGATTTAGAAAATGAATGTAGTTCATTGTACAGAGGATAATGCAGTGCAACAAATAAGAATCAAATAGTAGTTTTAAGCGTATGTGCTTAGAAGCAAAGTCCATTGAAATCAGTGGAAATTTTCTTTTCATTAACTATAAAACTGAAAAGGTGAGTGTGTTTAAAGAAGTTGAAGTAACTTTAAAATATTAGTTGAATTTGGCAGCATGAATATATGGAAGAATAGTGCTCTTTAGCAACTATTTTTCAATATTTATCATGGAATATTATGAACATATTACAAAAAGATCTACAGTATTTTAGCTTTTCAGTGAGTATAGTATCTATAAGGGTGCAGTTTTGACAGTACACTGTGATTTGGTTGCTGTGTCTTCAAAAATGTGACTGCAGCTTAGTATTTATACATTAAACTGGTTTTCTACATATCTCCATCACATTGATAATTCAAGTGTTAACATTTTACTTGACCAGAGTCTCTCTTCAGTGTATTTGAAAGTAAAATTATCACACCATATTTTCTGTGAACTCAAGTGAGTTTTTGTAATTACTTTATCAATCTGATTTATCGTCTAGCTGAAGTGCTTTCTTCTAATCAAAGTTATCCTTTGGTCAGATCCTTAAGCTAACAGTGGATTCTAAACTCTGCTTGGTTGGCGGGGGGGGGGGAAATAGTTTAGTTTTGGATTTTGTTTTGAGGGTTTTTTTCCCATTTTGGTTTTGAACATAGCTTGTGGTCCTAGGAACATCTCCATTGTAATATACTCTGTATGCCCTCTGAATGGTCTTTTGTAACACGAACATCTAGAAGGAAGTACCCAATATTCTGTGTTTTTTTTATTATAATTTTGTTAAATTTATCAAGAATTTTACAGTTGAATATGAAAAGATTCATAATAGGTTTACAGTTCAATGTTGCAGTGTTTCTTAATGTATGTTTGGTGTAAATAGAGAATTTATTGTAAGTATGAATAGTTGTGTCAAATAAATCTTTTGTTAAATTAACCTCTTGAATGCAGGTCATATGCATAAATGATTGAAATGCATATAAAATAAAACATTTATGTTCAGCAAGTGGGGTAGGTTAGAAATCAATATAGAAGTATATAGAAAAAAAGTGTCTGAAGTATTTTGGCACAAATTATTAAATATGGCTATTATTATGAAAGGTTATGTATTAACAATTCTGAAAACCAGTTGATAGTTGAATTTTACATAATTCACGCTATGGTTAAGTTGCACAGAACACAAGCTTTTTTTTTTTAATACTATTGTTAAAAATTGCTTCACACAAATATTTGTCAACTATTTTACTTGAAGAGGCAAAAGTAAAGTCAGCCATGGGTAAAAGTTGAGTAATAATCTGTAAACACATAAAAACTTAAGAAAGCAAGGTCTGTAGTTGGACTGTATAGAAAATCAGAGATACTTCCAGGAAGCTCACAAGCAGGACATGAGCATAATAGCATTTTTCTGTTTGTATTGTCCAATAATAGTTGTTGAAATGTATTTTAGAAGTGTCCTGATAGGGAAGTAGCCATTGTTAAATTTATTCTCCATGAATTTATATAATGGCATTCTCATTTAGTTTCTCCCTGGATCTGAGGCAAAAGTATTAGTCTTCTTTGCAGAAGTTATAAGAAGTGGACTGTTAATAAAACCTGTATATTGCCTATGTTTTAGTGAGTTGGTAACTTTTTCAGAATGCTTTATTAATTTAGTGCCACTAGTAATTTAACTTTAAAGAACACATACGGTAAAACTTCCAGCTTAAGTTCAGTAGGATCCATCTACAAAACATACAAAATTCATAGATGGAAGTTTGTCAATCGAATCTTCATGAAGAACTCTATAGTTATTTCACATATCCCAATTCTTCAAAAGCGCTGAACCTGAAGCTTGCACATAATTATCCTATTCAAATAGTTTAAACAGTCTGTTCTGTCAGCATCTGTAGTAAAATTGTTATTAGAACTCATTTATCAGCCCGGGTAGCATGCTGTGTTCTAAATTTCCAAATTGGGTTCAGTGTGTACTGAAGTGCAGGTTCACACCAATACTTTGTGCAAGAAATGCTAAACAGTGAGAAATAAAGACACAATGAAATAGTATTAACCCAGGATGTATGTCATTGCATATATATTGCATAAAACTATACAATACTTAGCAAATTTAGGCTTCAGTCAAGCTTTCGTTTGTCATGTTTAAGTTCCCTGAAAACAAAAAGCCTTCATATAGCCTTGGTTAAAATGTCTTACTGGTTTATTAACTTGGGACAAATAATATGTTTTATTTATTTGGTCATAGGTAGTATGGGCCAATATTTGAATGGGGAACCCCTTCCTTGCAGGATGAAAAGTATTTGGTGTGTGAACTACCAGATGATATAATGCATTGTAAGCTGTCCTAGAAAAAAGAATTTTTGAAGAATGGACTAAACAAGAATGGATTAACATTTCCATACTCTACCTTTTGCTTTAGATCTCACTCTATAAAGCTTTATCTTGTAAAGGACAGAAAAGGGAAATTGAAGGCAAACTTGACATAATTAACAACAGCTAGTTTGTCCTTAGTTGTGACTAGCTTTTTATCTGGATTAGACCTGTGGAATTGTATATAGTGGTGTCATGCTGACTAGAGCATCTGCTTTTCAAACAGATTCTTTTCATCCTGCACTGACCTCCTATCCATTTTAGAGAATAGGAATCTTTTAGAACAGAATTGGCTGCATGTGTAGAGATGAGGGAGGGTAAGACGCGGAGGAAATCCCATTGCACAAGTCCTTATATAACTTGAGATGCCTTTGAAAGATCAAAGCATTCTTCCTTAGAAATGATGTCCATATGAAATTATTGGAATATGGAAATATTAAATTATTGGAATGTTGTCTACATTTCTTTTAATTTGGTAATATGCTATTTCAGTAAGCCAAAATTAGAGCAAGCACTGAAATGTTCTGAAGAATGGTAGGGAAAAATTGTTGTTTTGAAAAGTATTTGTGTTTATTTAGTAAACATAAACCAACCCAATATATTACTAAGGTTATGATCTACATACCTAGCTATTATTTATACCTAAAAAGTTAATATTGTCTTATCACTAAGCTATTTAGATGCATTGCTATAAAGTTAATTCATACTTGCAGTTAGTGGAGCACCAAACTTTGTTAATGAAATGAATTATATTTATGGAAGTAGCTTAATTTGTGAAAAATCATATCTACTATGTTGATGAAAAATATGCATAGAAAATAGATATTCCATTACAATAACAGTGATCTCA